AAATATTACCCAGACGGAATTGGGAGCTTATATTTCCATATAGGTTTAAAATTTCTGCATGAATCCATTTTATTTTTCTATTGGATCTTGAAATTTTTTAAATACCCTGAAAGGAGAATATTTGACCCAGGAAGCAAATCCGAAAATCTCCTGTCAGTGCTATATAAAAATGAAAGTAGTACTTTAATAAATCTGTCAAAAAATTAAGATCAGGAGAACAACGAGGATTGCACCAATCTAGCTTTTAAAAATGGTTGTTGATCAAGTTTGCTCAATACAACCATCCCAAGAGTTATCAGACGTTGAAGTTACGTTGAAATAACGTTGATTGAACGTTGTTTCAACGAAATGGACTCATAATCAACGTTGTATCAACGTCAGTTGCCTGGAGGGATACGGTCAATCGGTTGGGCGGGAGTATCACAAAGGTACTCACGCGAAAAATATTTGAAGGCGTATTAAAATGTCAAATGTACTCAAATAAATGATGAGTTACTCAAAACGAAAATGCTAAATATTGATGTGCAAAAGAAATAAAATGTCAGTTGCGCAAAGTGGTAACTTTCTACGATGTGCGAGCGGTTTCTTCAGCGTAACACGTTATATTCATCTCATTGGATAAAAATTTGTATTTCCTACATTAGGGACTTTGTCTCTAGGATCTCGTTCTCCAGGATTTCATCATTCTGTTTTTGCTACAGTTGCTTGCTTATCTTTACGAAGTTTTTGCATGGACCTCAACTGGAGCAAAATAATTCGGAACCTAATAATCCCCGATGATTTATTAATAGCACACATATCACTCGTTGACGTCACTGCGCAGTCAGCGCAAATCGCACGAGAGGAAACTAGCGATACAAATTTTATCATTTCATCGTTGCCGTCTGACCAAAGAGGAAAGTTTGGCTGTGAGCTAAAATTTTTCTTTTCGACTCAGTGAAGTTTCCTTGAGTCAAGTCGTATTCTTGTTGAAGCAATAACCTGAATCTGGCCGTCCAAAGTCGCCCCATAACCGAACTTGCAGAACGGGAAAGTTAGGTTAGTCCGTGAGACGCATGCGCGGGCATGGCCTAGCCATTTCGGGACCCTGCATGCAAAACACGTGAGATTGAATTGCGTAGCAATAATTATGAGCTGAGGTTTCATACAGGACTTAAAAATATTTCTACTGAATTTTGGCCAAGACTTCGATCGATGAAATTTTAACCCGCAAATTATAAACCTATCAAAATTATATGTCTTAGTTCAACTCCTTTCACTCTGATACTGGTCACTACTGTTGAGAAAAGCATAGTCATAGTGAGTTTGACTTCTGACTCGTATGGGGAAACTGCCAGCAAAGTTCATGCAGAAATTACAACTTAGTTTCTGTACGCGCCTGCAGCCGGTCTCTCGTCAGGCTCAGGAGCGTTTGAAGCCGTTCTTCCGCGGGCCCATGCAAGTGCGTTTGGAGCCGTTCTCTCGTGGGGCCCAACATGGCGCTATTGCAGGAGGCGCGCATTCGTCAAGCCGCTAAGTAAAGCCTGTCGAGCGAGGGCGGCTTGAAACCTCCGTAGCGTGCGACTTAGTTTGTCTCGTAGAAGGACTGACACTCGGCAAGTTTCTAAACGTGAAATCTGACCAGTGTAGGGGAACGGGCAAGTTAAGAAACGTGAAGTGTGACTAGTGAAGGGACAGACACGCAGCAAGTTTCTAAACGTGAAGTCTGACTAGTGAAGGGACTGACACACGGCAAGTTTCTAAACTAACGTTTTAACTAAACTGCCATGCTGACTAACGTCCTTCTTTCCTAAACTATTCTCTCGAAGTCTGACTAGTGACTAGTCTGATAGCCTCAAACTATTCAATGCAAAGCCTGACTAGTGACTAATGTGATAGCCGCACATTTTCCCTGCAAAGCCTGGCTCTTGACAAGGCCGCGCGCAGGCATATTTTGTTTCAGAACCTAGAATGTTTCTAGGGAAGAGCGAAAGCATCGTTAGTTGATGAGCAGCTCTAACTCACGGCTAAGGGCGTGCTAAAATTATTCACATCTTATCTGGCCTTTAGTCTTGAGGCTACGGCGAGTTGAACTCTGCTGCGAACCTGCCTTACTCTTTGTCTATGGATACATAAACAGGCGTCAATTATACTCGTGTCTAGAGGGCTAGTAACGAATGTTGCCGTAAATAGACAAAAGGTTAATCCATAGTATGCGGAAACAATACCGATCGATAATGCTATTGTTACGGTACATAAATTCCTGGAAACGATAGTTACCGTTAAAGAACTTTAGTAATCACTCGTCTATAGATACATCAACCGTAGGTAAGGCTATTACTACTAGCGCTTAAAGGCCTGGTAGTTACCGTAAGGATAAAATCATAGTCCGTTTTCCAGGGATATGTTATAAGGCTTTATGATATTCATTTCTAAATTCCTCGTAGTAAGATTTACCGTTAGTCGCGAATTCGCAGTAAAGCTAAACACGCGTTAATCTCATCCGATATTCGCGAATTAAAAGGAATATTTTTGCTTTTTTTATTATCTCTGTTCTTATATGAACACTTTAACAGTTTTCAATGATATTCGAGCCTAATTGGCTGGTAGAAAAAATTACGTCACTTACTAAATGTCCATAATCCTAGATGCATCAGCATCAACCGACTCTTCGCCATATTGTAAACCCAGTTAAAATGTCAAGATTTTAACAAAATTAAATCTCGATGGACAAGGTTCTTTGGCGGTAATCTATTAAAAAATTAATAATGGAGATGATCGATTGGAGCGCTGAAACGAGATTCTCAGGTTAGATAAGACTGATCTGCCGTAGGTACTGAATTTGATCGACCACATTCGAGCAATTTGAGCCACGGAAAAATATAATAAAAAATGCAGGCTTCAATTGATTGTCAGTTTGCATTGGGAATCCTCGTTCTCGTGCAATAAGTTTTTTAAAGCAACATAAAACTGAAAGCAGATGCCAAGTCTGCGGTTATGCCGTAAAAATTTGATGAATAATTTGTGCTGGCTTTTAATGATAATGAATAATTTGTGCTGGCTTATAATGATAAAGAACAATTTGCTCTGGCTTTTTTAATAGAAATGATATAATTATTATGTTACTAATACACAATTTAACGTAAAAACTAAGTTATTTGTTATTTATTTTGTATATATTTTATTCAAATATTTATATAATATATTGCTCGCTATCTCTTACGATGACGTAGAAATTTATTTACAATCTTTTCGCTCAAGCTTTCATTGTAAATAATTTGTTCATTTCTCGCTCAAATGCACATAAATTGCTTCAACAGATTTGTTAACAGTAATCCTTGAACAAATTAGGATATAATGATGAATGAAGATACTGAAAAAAGCTAAGATCGAATGTGAATGACGCATTTTGTGCTCGATTCCAAAAAGGCAATAGAAGATAATGAAGAACAAATATAATCAAAAAGCAAAAATATTCCTTCGAATTCGCGAAAATTGATTGCGATTAACGCGTGTTGAGCTTTTCTGCGAATTTGCGAATATCGAATGTGATTGACGCGCGTTGTGCTCGATACCAAAAAGGGCAAGATTTCTGCACTGACTGAAGCAAGGGCGTTACCGAATTACTCAGCGGGAGGCATACAAACATCACAATTACCGCACCCTGGGTATTTTGGTCCGCATTACCTGCGTTAATCTGGTCATTGGCATCCTCATTCAGAAAAATAAGTGAGACTTTGTACAAATAATGATGCACTTCTCGCCATTATGTTGGTCGTTTTGACCAGGTTTGCCCAGCAAAAGGGCGTATCAGTGCTACACATGCAGAATGCGTGTCACTATCAAGACAATACAACGCATGCATTTTTCTGAGTGTAGCTACTTTGCAATGCCCAATTGGTAGTTTATGACAGACAACAGTTGTTGTACATGAGTTTCAGGGCGAATTAATGGATATTCTGACCGTAAATTCTCTTTTAACAGCGCACGTAATAAGCGGGCTCATCGGGGCGTCAAGTGCTGAAAATAGTTTGCGTTTATAGTGATAGAAGACTATCACTAATTCCGAACGTGAAACTCGTGCGTTAAAGTAAACATTTACTTCTCAAAGAATTTTTATATAAATTACAAGTTAAAATAACCTATTTTGAATGAAGATTATTTTCATACAGGCTAATATTTTACGAACATTAGGTGTCAAGTGTCCAATCGTTATCCTAACAAAACAGACATCCTACCCACGTAACGCTGTTTAATTACTAGCAATTCTATTAACTTGACGAAAATAAAACATTCCGACATGGTAATGAATTGATGCCTACAGACTTCAAAGAACCTCACGATTTATTGTTAGCCTCTTTGTGCCACAAAATGTTGAAAGCCTTGTTTCTTGTTGGCATTACTGAAGAATGCATTTTAGAGCCAAAATTAAAAAATTAATTAGACATTATGGAAGTGGTAATAAGTAATATATAATTGTTTTTCCGATCTTCTTTACTTTACTTGCAATTTACTACCCACGAAATATTTTGAGAAATCTTCTGTACAAAGATTGACGATCCACCGAGACTTCGAATCTGTAAGGCACATCTGATGTCACTAAATTGAAATCATTGAAACTTTTAACGGGTATTCGAACTCTGATGTAAATCCTACTCGTCCTTGATAAATTTTGAAATTTTTTGAATAAGTATTGAATGCGACGAAGAATGGCGGATTAGACGGCCTCCAAATTTATTTATGTGCCAAGAATATCAGGAATAGTCATGGAAAATTTAAAGTAAAATAAAGCTTTATAGTGACGAAGAATGCATTTGACAACGTACCCTTTAACCTCACCTAAAAGGGGTTTAGAAAAAACACACGTTCTATGCACGAAACTGGAATTATAGTACGATGTCAGAGCCACGAGTCGCATTGTTCAAGTTAAAAAATATGAAATCAATAACAGAAACTCATATTCCGTTTGATTATAGAAATGAAAGACATATATACATTTTAATTAGATCATTCATACTTACGGTTACTTTCCTTCGATCCTTAGGCGAAAAATTTGCCGATATCATAATTACTATAAGCAATTTCAAAAGTATATCTAAAACCATGAACTCTTTGCCACTTCAGAAAGTAAACAACTGAGGTCGGGTTCTCCGGTGGGTATCACAGAACCTGACCAACAGAGCACGGACGACCGCACAACACACTGCACACCGCGACCTCTGCCGCTACACTGAAGAAGAAATGTTGCCTTGCCTGAAGGAATGGACTTGCCTCAATATCCTTGCGTTGTTCAGGGCCATGTTTATGTTACTATAGCGAGAACATCACAAGCACCGGGCATGGGATTGCATTAGGCGCTGACACGCGTCTTACAGGATTGTGGGATTTTGACTGTTTCCTAATAATATGCATAGACGATTTATTTTCCTGTTTTGTGGAATTAGAGGCCTGCATAGGAGGCCTATTTAATCATTATATTTAGTACTAGAAAAAATATTTTTTTTAATCATATTGATTAACGGGTATAGCTGAACAGTTGTTGCCTCGTTTCTCCCCTAATGTGTGTGATAGCTACTTAATTGTTGGGTGTGTAATTTTATTACTTTTATTTATTTCATTTTTGAAATCAGAATGCATTCCTTTATTTTTCAAATAATCCATAAGGAGATTTTTTCTAACAGCTGCATGGAAAATGCAATATTTTCCAATCGAGTTCCTTGATCTGCCTATGAATATCTCAATGCTCGTTTGTATAGAAAACGACGATGACAGAATCTTACCTCTGAATATCACAGATGGCCAAACTTTCTTCGAAAAAGTTATAATCATGTAACAAAGTAACAAACTTTCTTCGAAGAGAGTTAAATTTTCACGAATCTTCGTTTATTTAACGTTTGTTCACAGAAAACTACATGACTAACTTGCGAATATTTTTCAATAAAAATTAAAAAATTTCTTCATGCAGCAAAGTTAAGTAGAATTTTTGTTAGAGCGTTTGTTTCTTCTCCAAAATTTTCTTAGAACCTTGATCGTAACTTTCCATGCTCAGGCAAATGATCGAGTGTAGGTGATTTATTTGGTACAATGCTTGCCCAACTAAAAATGTTTATAAATGAGTCGCGTTGACTCGCTTTATTCATGATTCACCTCGCATGTGGAGTAATTATTAAAAGCGAAGAGTACGTTAATTAAATCACTACCAACATCTTTATTGAAAAAGTTTCCTAGACCTGTTCCATCATCAATAATAAATATAAAGAATGTAAGTTTAATCAATATTACGACCTGAAAAAAACTTTTTTTAACTGATTCAGTTTTTGCGTTCAAAAAAGAGATTTTTAAACGCAATTTTTTTTGCTGGAAATATTATAAATTTACTTTGCATTTTCTCGGCTAAATTCAAAATTTTTGGTTATCTTCAGATTTAAGAAACATGGTGATACAAATACAAGGTCACGCGTATAATTATATCTAAGCCGAAGCAACATCTAATGATATAATTCATTATCATTAATTACACTTGAAAGCGCCGGACCTATTGTGAAAACCCACTGAATTTTCATTAGTTGCACATTAGTGTTTTTCCTTCATGCAAAACAGCCGCCATGATGACCCGACTCTCCTGAAAGTCAGCGGTGTATTGTGTCCGTGAGCCACGCAAAAATATTTTATAGAATTTTATATATATTTCAAACAGGTTTCATTGAAGACCAGAGAATTTGTTTTATTCCCAATTTTCTTATTAGTTTTTTCGATATATCGGACAATATTTTCAGTTTGAAGTGGCAAATCGAAAATTTTCGATTCGAAAAATTTTGATTTTCGATTTGCCAGTTCAAACTAAAAATATTGTTCGATATATCGAAAAAACTAATAAGAAAATTGCGAATAAAACAAATTCTCTGGTCTTCAATGACACCTGTTTGAAAGAAGAAATTCTGCCAACCTATACTAATTTTATATATAAATATATATTTATAAGTATTTAAATATAGAGAATTAGCACGCTAAGGACAATCCCACAAGGCATATTAAGTCTCGTTGAACGTTGTAACGACGAAATAATTTTAATTAAACATTTTTTCGACTTTATGTGCCAGTGCTCCTGATATGTCGAGGTGTCAGAATTAGGGCAACGTGGGGCAGCGCGCCCCCCACTTTTTTTAAACTAAATTTTTGATGAAGTTTTAATTGATACGAGGTGGTTCTTTGTTTTGTTTAAAGGTGCAACTAATGAGGAATGTATGATGTGAATTAGACGCCTATAGAGTTATTCAATTTTTTATAAAACACTATTTTGTAAAAAGTGTCAAAATGGGCCCATTGCCTCACCCCTGGGGCAATGGGCCCATGGGCTTGGGGCAAGGCGCCCACCCTTGGTCCCTTTACCACAATTGCATATTTTTCGTTTAAAAATGATAAAACAACACTTTACAGTTAAAAATAAGAAAAATGCAATAAAAATGACATTCATTTATTAACAACTCAAAAATCATATCCATAAGGACCATAACTTGAAAAAAATATACTCTTGGCTTAAAAAATCTATCACTGACGTGAAGAAAAATATTTCATTGACATAACATTATATATCCTTGATTTGAAAAAGATATCGTTGCGATAAAAAATTCGTCCTTGACATGAAAAAATGTATCCTTGACTAGAAAAAATATATTTAGTTGATCAGAAAAAAACTTCGTTCCAGTTTCGTCCATAATCCAGATATTATGTGCAGAGATTTTGTACCTAATCGTGATTTCAGCCAACACCATAAAAACTCTCATCAAATTTTGGCTCATTGGTGTTGACTGACATCAACTTTTGGCAAGGCAAGAGTCAATAACTCGAAAAGTGGTCATAAATACGCATAACTAGAAACTAAACCTGCTGCCTTGAGGCGGCAAATAAAAAAATCATGCAATACGAAGTGTAATTTGTAATTCAAAAAGCTAGTCATAGTTTGAAAATGTCATTGAGACAAATCTAATGATGTATAATACAAGACTTCACCATGGGCGCTTTGCCCCGTGACACGCGTGGGCCCGTTGCCCCCACTAGGTATCATTTCAATTTATGTTGTGTCAACATTTTATTTTAAAAGCTAATAGTCTAAACTTGGTCTCAAAATTATCCCTATAAATATTACTTTGAAAAAATAATTCAAAGTAATTTCAAAATCTTCATCTATAGTAATGGAAAAAAACTTTATTTAGCGGCAGAAAAATTTTTATCTGGACTAAAACAGTTATTCGCAAAGAACTTAATAACGCAAACACTTAGCAAAACGTAAATCCGTACACTTCATCACAGTGAAACTGTCGACCGGCGGTAGAGAACACGGACCAATATCTGCCATACTTAGCGAGAAACCCGCTATGGGCCCGTGACCCGCAGTGGGCTCGCTGCCCCATGTTACCCTACTCCATGGGGCTACCTCTGATGTGCTGACGTCGAAGTTCGGACGAAATGTAATGAAATTTGTTTTTAAACCTGCACAGCCTTGCACACGAGATGTACTGCTCGGAACTACCAAACAAATTGTACATTCATAATTGCTACTCACGATTTCTCCCTGCCCCATTAATACCCATTAATGCCGAGAATTATGTAACGAGAATTTTTCAGAATTGTTCATGCCAAATGACTCTTTATGATGTCAATAAACAACTGAAACGCTCAAAACGGAAATTTATTTGAAAATATGAAAAATACAGCTTGGGAACATATGTGCCCATTCGGCTATAAAATCATGATTTCAGAAGAAATTGAAATAAACCTATAAATATAGTCCTTTGTTAGCTCTATGCATACAGACTCCTTTTTATTTCTCAAAAGTTAACTAGTAGAGTATCTATGGCTTAGTGTGTTATTTTTTCATGCAGTCAGGATGCAAGGGAACCTTGCACATCTTGCATATGTGAGGTGTTCTGCCCTGACACTGCTTGCATCTGCTGGGTGTATGCTCTCTTCTTGCAGTCCCATGGCCTTTTTCGTTGTACCGCACACTTTCTTCTGCACTACCAGTACTGCATTTATGACCTGTTGCCTTTCTGGTGGTTCCATAGGCCTTCAATGTAGCTAAAACTAAGTTCCCAGAAATGTCTATTAAGCTCATGTCAGCATGTATTCGTCTGCGCTGACGCCAAGCATTTTCCACTTGAGCATTTATGCTCCGATACTCTCCGATAAATGTCCGATGCATTTCAAAATACTCTCATTCACTACTTGTTCCTTTGTTTGCTTTTCATAATCTCCAACACTATCAATAACTTTTGTTTCGTCTCTATGCCAAACCACCTTCTATTTTCTGAGTTTCTTCTTCCTCTGCTGACAATCAGGAGACGACGTTTGTTGATCTCTTTTGTCAGTAAGTACTTCGGAAAGTAAGTTTCTTCATGGTAAATGATTGGGATTGCATATAACTTCACTGTCGGAGGCATCAGAGTCGCAGTCAGTACCAGCAGCTGCTTCTTCAATGGGAGGCTCGATTGCAACATTTATTTCAAAATCACTATCATCATCAGATTCTTCCTGAAGTATTTGTCACACCTCGTCCAGGGTCAGCCTGAAGAAAGAAACATCTAATAAGATTATTTCAATGTTGAAAATATCACTCAAGTCACTTCTTGCAATATAACCCATAACTCGTTACAATGATTTTTAGTTACTGGCAATTTATTATAAGGCATATCTGAATTTACATATAAACGGGCCAATATTATCATGAATAGTTTTCTAAACATATATTTAGGAGCTACAGAGTAGCAAACATCTGTTAACTTCTCATTATAATATTGTATGACACAACGGGAAAGCAATTAAAATAAATCTACGCACATCATATAAGAAAAAGTGCCTCAACTTTCGTGTAGGGCGAAATCTTTATTTTATATCCTAACGGGCACATTTGTTCCCAAAATTTACATTTTACTATATGCATTCAATGTTATCCACATTATTGATCATTTGTGATTTATATACAATTGGTGCATTATCCAGCTACAAATTCCAATCATTGGATGTAGTAAAATGTTTTCAGTAATTGAGGTACATACGTTTTTCTCAGGCGTGGTGGAGCCATGTTTCATACACCTCTCTTTCGGTCAAGGTCAGCCGGCTACTGCGCATGAATGCATGGTGACAGAGAAACAAAACATGTTCCGTACGTGCTCTGAACCTTCAAAGAACACACCTTATTAACAGAAAATAGCGAAATGCAATGTCTTTACTTTTACAGCTATTTTTATTAGCTGGGCACAAATGTTCCCGTTCGGCGTTAATGGGTTAAGACATTTATTATCTTGATAACGCTGTATTTTTTGATTAATTAAAATTAAATGGGTGTCTTTTTAAATTTTAATTCGCATTATGGCTCTCAGGTCACGTTATTATTATTTACTTTATTAAGAATGGTTGAGCAATTGCAACTGGAGAAAAAATTATTATTTTGTTTACGTAACTACTGAAAAATTGATTGGTCATATAGTCCATATTTTCTCCGCTAAACCCTGCAAAAATTAATGCCGTTTGTAGTATAACAGCCATCCGAAAATCTTCAATTATAGTGACACATTTTCTCCACGTAGCACAGATACGCCCATTTTCCGAGCTAAACTGGTTCAGGATGACCCATACCGGCGCAAAGAGTGCATTACATTTAAACTAAACCTTAATCATGTCTCTGAGTCTGAGTATGCATTGGCGAGAATAAAGAAAGATCAGTAAAAGAGAGGAATATACAGGGTGTACCAGAATTAACTGACCCTTTTAATTTGTTAATAAATAAAAAACCAAGAACGTTTTGAAGTTGAAACTTGTTTTATTTAAAAGAAGAACATTTTTATGGTAATATTGTATCTTAGTTTTTAAATATAATATCTTTTAAATGCCCACCACAATTGTTTTGACAAAATAGGGCTCTTCTCTTCGTTGCTTTCATAACCTTCATTAGTGTTTCTGGCGAGAGTGCAAATTTTTGATATCCGCAAATTTTCGATAAAGAGATTTAATTGTGTTTTCTGAACGATCCTTGTTTTGAAATGGATCCTGTAATCACGTTGAACTTCTGTTATTGACATCGTTATTGACTGTAGCGATAATTGTTGTTCTTTCTTCTTTGCTGTAGCGAATCATGATGAAAATTTAAGGCTTGATAATTAAACACAAATTTAGCAAGCTATACAGGATAATGACGTAACTATGATACAATATTACCATAAAAATGTTCTTCTTTTAAATAAAACAAGTTTCAACTTCATAACGTTCTTAATTTTTTATTTATTAACAAATTAAAAGGGTCAGTTAATTCTGGTACACCCTGTATATAAAGAGGTATAATATTTTTGAAAATTTGGTCTATAAACTTATGTATATACATAAAATACAATGAACATACGTATATTGAGTGTTAGATATAATTTCGTCGCTGTAGTTGGGTGACCTAACGTGGCTAACAGACGGATAACTGCCTAACAAATTAACAATTTAGAATTTTGGACTCATTTTGTTTTTAAATTACTCAAAATTGACAGATTATGGGACTTTTTTCATTATGTGACTTCTTTATTCTAATAAAAGTCAACTTTGCTCAAGCCTTAGCTTGTCCGGCTTCTTTATTGTGTGGATTGAAAATCATAAAAAATTTATTCATTTGAGCACAATTTATTTTGGAGAATTGCCAGCTCATTTAAAATGCCACTTTTATTTAGAGTTAAAAAGCACATTATGGTTAAATAGTTTATTAAATGATTGAAAGATGAAATAGATTGTTCTCACAGCTTAACAATTTAGAAAACAAAAATCTTAAATACCATGTAACAAATCTGCGCACAAGCAGAAACTATAAACATAAAAATTGAAAAGCATAAGAAAAACAACATTCATGAAACGCAATGAACTGAGCATGAAATGAACAGAAATTATTCACAACTTACCGTAACTATAGTGAAATTAATAATTATCGTGAAATTAATTACAATTCTGAAATTAGTTATTATCGTGAAATTAATTATTATCATGAGATTAATTACAATTGTGAAATTAGTTATTATCGTGACATTAATTACTATGGTGAAATTAATTATTATCGTGAAATTAATTATTGTGATGAAATTAATTATTATCGTGAAATTAATTATTGTGATGAAATTAATTATTATCGTGAAATTAATTATTGTGATGAAATTAATTATTATCGAGAAATTAATTATTTGCACGCAATGAAGCCAATCGAATGACTTCAGGACTTCAAGGAATAACTTTATTTGAACGCAGTGATGCAAATTCGCATCAACTATTGTTCACTAACAGCAATATGAATAATTGATATGTATAATTAACATAAAAGTTGGGCGATGGGATAAAGATAAAATAAATACTGGAAAATATATATTCCGGAACAGACTAAGTTTGGATAAAATAGAAAGTTACAGATTCCGCGACGGGAGAGATATAGCAATTTAATTTATTTCATTATTCGTGAAAGCGATCAATTCCTCGCCACATTGTATATTTCAGCGTAAATTATTTCAATACAGCGATAATTTATTTGCCACATGGCATATTTAAATGTTGATTATTTGAATGAAGCGATCGATTCCTCGCCACACGTTAAGTTCGAATGATAATAAGTTTGCTCGATCAATTCCTTTACATCATGTATATTAGAACGCTAATTATTTGCTAAGTAGTTCAATACCTTGCCACATGGCATTTTATCTTGTATAAATAGGGCGCGGACTTTCTCCTCAATAAATGTTGCAGCATATCTTTCAATTACAATACTCCTTGCTACTTAGCCCTGAAATTATTCCTCACAGAGGTTCTCCTCATTAAAAATAGCGACGTCTCTTTCAGTTACATTAACCCTTGCTGCTTAGCGCTTGAATCATACCTCTCAGAGGTTCTTCTCATTAAATGTTGCGGCGTCTCTTTCAGTTAAAATACTTTTTGCTACTTAGCACTGGAATCATTCCTCTAACAGGTTCTCCTCATTAAATGTTGCAGCGTCTCTTTCAGTTACAATACACCTTGCTACTTAGCACCAGAATCATTCCTCTCCGAGGTTCTCCTCATTAAATGTAGCATCGTCTCTTTCAGTTACAATACTCCTTGCTACTTAGCTCTGGAATCATTCCTCTCCGAGGTTCTCCTCATTAAATGTAGCGGCGTTCGGATTGCTCCAACTTTACGATTTTCTCGGTTCTTTCGAAGAGCTTCTGGGCGAGACCGTCGTTTGTCGCGAGTTTTGACAGCTCGCGCGACTGAAACAAATGAAATGGCGGATAAGATATGAACTTGGAAATTTCCATTATGAGTATCAAAGCGATCGAGTTTTTCGCCTTGAAAACACCATTGTTGGCTAGAATAAATACGTATGTTATTCTACTGGAAGCTTTTCTATTATTGAAATAGTTCTGGGACTAAAACTTAATTGTATTTTATGATCGATATAACTATAATTTAATAAATATCTCGTAATTCTTTATTTGTAATGATACGCCCTTATGCGAGACAAATGGGTCAGGATGACTCACAAAAGGCCAAAAATGGCATTCCTCAGAGTTAATAAAAACTGATTGTGATCAGCTATATACTAACGGTAATAAGAAATAATACTAAATGATTTAGTAATGAGTCATGATAACGAATAATAACAATGAGTGATATAGTAATAAGTGATAATAATAACAATAAATAATGCAATTAACCTGGCAGTCCATGAAGTAGTTGCCGGTGCCTGTCGCAGCCTCGCCTGACGTGGCCAGGAACAGCAGCGTCTGGCTGCCTTGGAACCCGCTCTGTCAAATTACAGTTATTGAGTACACAACATTCTGAACCAGAATCTTGCACTATTATAAACTATTCTTTTACTAGAATCTAGACTATTCTAAACTATTCTCCTACTAGAATCTAGACTAGGTATTCTAAACTAGTCTTTTACTAGAATCTAGACTATTCTAAACTATTCTTCTACTAGAATCTACACTATTCTAAAGTATTCTTTTACTAGAATCTAGACTATTCTAAACTATTCTTCTACTAGAATCTGGACTATTCTAAACTATTCTTCTACTAGAATCTTGACTATTCTAAACTATTCTTATACTAGAATCTAGTTTATTCTACTAGATTCTTGATTATTCCAGGTTCTAGATTATTAAAAAATCTAGATTATTTCATATACAAGATTATTAAAGATTCTAGATTATTGCGGAATATAAATTATTTCTGATTCTAGATTAATCCAGATTATTGATTATTCCGTATCTAGGTTATTTTATCTTCTAGATTATTATTAGAGAAAAATTATATTGTTTTAGCGCTACCTACCCTGCCGATGATGAAGCCAGCCCAATACTTGCAGCGGCTGGTAATGTAGTCCGTGTTTGCGTCGTAATCCGCCGTACGCACAAAGCCCGGACTGAAGCAGTTCACGACAACGCCTGCTTATCGGAATGACGGTTTGGTTGGATATTTTTGAGAATAAATAGAGAATTATAATAAAAATTTTATATTAATTAATTAATTATAATAAAAAATTGTAGCCTAGGTGGACGTTTAGCTGAAGCAAGACCAAGTGATGCCAAATCATCATCATTCAGAGCGGGCATTTTTTTTTGAGAGAGGCAATATAAAATCGATTTCTAATGAAGAAAGTAGAGGTTATGCCATGAAACTTAAATAAGCTTATCGTATTTGTGGTTGTAATATATTCTATGTACGAAATTTAAACAGAGTTCAGTAGAGATCTATATAGATCCCTAGTGAAACCTATTAAGGAACAAGTTTCACTATAAGTATAGAGTTCATTTGTTTACTGCGTATGTTATTGGTTTTCTAGCACCATACAAATAATCTAGGAAAAATTCGAATGAAAAATAAAAAATTTATTACATGACAAGAACTGTAGAGCAGCGAGAAGTAGTGATAAAAATGTAAAAAATAAGAATATATAAACAACAATCGTACAGCATCTTAAATACTTATAATAATTATACTATCTGAAACAAATAATATAAATAATTATATAATTTACGAACTGTATGGCATCTGACCGTGACGGGCGGCTGGCAGCGAGAAGTGTCGATAAAAATGTGAAAAATAACAATATATAAACAACAATTGTACAGCATCTGAAATAATTATAATAAATAAATACAAATAATTATACAAATGAAGAACTGTATAGCATCTGACCGTGTCGGGCGGCGAGCAGCGAGAAGTGACGATAAAAATGTAAAAAAAATATATAAACAACAATCCTACAGCATCCGATATAATTATAATAAGTAAAAATAATTCTATAATTTAAGAACTGTATAGCATCAAACCGTGTCGGGCGGCGAGCAGCGAGAAGTGACGAGTGAAGAGCACCAGACAGACGTGCGAGAGCGCTGCTGCTCGCATCGGAGTGTATGTCTCTTCGATGAAATCTAAATCCTTCAACAAGATAAACATTGAGATACGATGAACAAAATTTCCAAATTCCGTTGTGAAAAGTCTGGAAAGAATTGTGAAATATTTTCTTTACGTTGAAACAGTCAAGAAGTTGCAATAAAAAGCAGAGAAGAAAATATCAATAGTAACTTGATATAACTGTGCGAAAACTTCAAAATATAATCCAATTACTACAAAGTAGTCCAGTTAACTCGTCCAATTACTACAAACTAGTCAAATTAATAGAAACTAGACAATTACTATAAGCCATTCAAATTAACTAGTCCAATAAACTAGGACAATTAATATAAATTAGTCCAATTAACTAGTCCAATTAACGTAAATTAATCCAATTAATATAAACTAGTCAAATTAACTAGCCCAATTCCTAAAAACTAACCCAATTATTACAAGTAAGTCCCAATTACTAAAGAATTGAGCTTTCACTAATATTATCGGTGAAAGCTTAATTCTTTGATTTTTGCTTTTATTTCACTAATATTATTGCGACGACTTGAGAACTGATCTCGTCGTGAGGGAAAATACATCTAAGCTATGAGGCGAGGTAACAAAATAATTGATTTATGAAGTTTCATTTAGCTTGGGCTGTTAAGAATATGTATTTCTTATTCATAGCTTACGTAGGGTCTAAACGGAAGCCTGGAATTTTTTATTTACAAATATTCTTTAACGTAAATAAACAGGGCCTATACTTTAAAAAAAAAGTTAAGAGATCGTAAGTTCATCAGCCAATCATTGACGGCCTTTCAAGCAAAATCTACCAATTATAGACAAGACAACAGAGCGTAAGTAATTACGTTCAATTAGCACGTTTTGAAAGTATGGCCCCTGGTTATGAAACTACATGGAACTTTTGTATCCATGTTCTAAATCAGGAAATAATATTCGTCGAACAATGGATTGGATGTAAAAACATATAGCAAATCAATGACATTCATTCCTGACCTGCAGGTTGATTGTGTTCAATAGAGTGTAGATTTGAGACACCATCACGATGACGCGACTGTTGGGCGTGAGCTTTATGAGACCTGGACACATAAATAATATACCATCACTAACTATAACAACGAGTGTTCTAAAGCGAATCATCTGATAACGTTCAAAATATAAAGAATAACCTTGTAGTTGATGGATAATTGGGCCTGTTTCGTCTATCCTTAATTTATAAGCAAACTTCATCGATTGGTACACTTGCTAATAACCGGATACTTATGATTTGTCATACTTCAATTGAGGTTGACGAGTTCAAAAACTTGTAATTCCAGTCCGCAGTTATTAATTTTTAAGCATCAATGATTCTTTGGTTCTAATCACTCCGCAGGAATTTTACTTCTACCAAAAGTCTATCGAATATTCAACCTTTATATAGGCTGACAACATCATTTATATAGGCTTACAACATCATTTATATAGGCTGACAACATCATTTATATAGGCTTACAACATCATTTATATAGTCTTAGAACATCATTTATATAGGCTTACAACATCATTTATATAGGCTGACAACATCATTTGTATAGGCTTACAACATCATTTATATAGGCTGACAACATCATTTGTATAGGCTTACAACATCAAGCTAATGAGAAAAATTCCTGCGAACTCTCGCACAAATGCATACGAATTGAAAGGTTCAATGGTTGCTGAATATACGAATTACAGAATTGAATGCTTACGTAATAAATAAATTAAAAGCTCGATGATTTCCGAGTAAATGAATCACAATGCTTAAAGGTTACCGAATAAATTAATAAAAATCCTCAATGACGGCGGAAAACAAATTAATTAAAAATCACAATTCTCACCGAAAAATAAATCAACAAGTTTAATATTTATAGAATAAATGAATTACAAAGCTCAATAATTACCGAATAAGAGATTAGTGAGCAGGAAGTGGCCGTAGTAGTTAGCGGCCATTGTCCGTTCCTGGCCACCGGCCACCAGCGTCCGCTGCCGCGGCGCGGCCTGTGAGTGGCACAGCGCGAGGATGTCCAGCCTGTGAGGGTATGAGGGGTGTGAGGGTATGAGGGGTGTGAGGGTATGAGAGGTATGAGGGGTATGAGGGTGTGAGGAGTGTGAGGGTATGAGGGCACAATACCACTATTTCCATTATGAAGGCAATAGTATTAGCAGGAGCGGTAGAACTATAACTTGAATATATTGGCACGCAAGGGGAAATTTGACACAAAATTACCCCAGCCCAAATTATCAGATTGGATTGCGTGGTGATCAGAGGCCTTACTAGAAAAAATACGAGTTCGTAAGTCCATCAGCCAATCAGTGATAACGTTTGCAAGCTAAACCTACCAATCACAGACGAGAAATTGGCAGCTACGCGTACTTAGGTCGCTTCGCATACTTAGGTCGCTAAGTGTACTTAGGCCACAAATTGAACTTAAGCGAATTTTGAAAGTACGGCGTTCAACTAACGTACTCCCAGTTCATTCTTCTACGTGGATAATAATTAACAGAAAGCCGTTAAATAACAATAATAATAATAATAATGATAACAACCTTTTCTCTGTGGTGATGACTTTTTGTGCGAAGGTCCTGACAGAGGCGCTGCAGGAGAGGTCCAGGGGCAGCACCACGATGCTGGCCACACCCACGACTCCGCGCTGTAGCTCTTCTATAAACATAACAACGCTGTACAAACTTATTACTCAATAAAGTCACTAAGAAAAATGGAGAGACTTTGTTCAAATAGCGATGCACTTCTTACCCTTAATGACCCAGTTTTGCTCGGCAAAGGATGTATCAGTGCTACATGCAGAAAGTGAGTAGCTATTTAAACAATGTGACCCACTCATTTATCTGGAGAATATGTTCAAATAAATGTCACTCGTAAGCATCTTTTTACGTGTCAAAATTATTAACATTGAATCTACAGGAAATGACGTTGAAGGAACGTTGATTATAGGTAAATTTCTTTGAAACGACGTTTCTTCGACGTTATTTCAACGTCACATGCCTGATACTGATAGTAACATAAATTCAAACATTCCGCGCAAAGCGAAATTTCCTAAGCAAAGTTATGAAAAAATTTTGCACAATTTAAATATATTAGGAATTTATTTCATTATGAAATGCGCAAAATCAACTAACCAATTTAATTTGTAATCAATTTAAATTTATTGTGAATTTTTTGGTTATGAAGTGAACTAAACAATCTGGGTCGAATTTAATTTGTAATTAAGAGTCATTTGTCATAACTCATAAGTCACTAGATTTCCAAACCAGCATGGCACAGAGTTCGATAATTATTCTCTCACGATATGGAGACAAAGTCTAAAGTCTAAATTCCCCTTAAAATTTTCTAAAAAAAATTTATAAAACTCACAAATGAATTTTCTCAAAGTTACCAACTATGTTACGGAATGATGAGATTTGGTATTACAAAAAAAAAAAATTCACCTGAAAAAAGCTGTACCACAAAAACGGAAAAACTGTAAATTCGACCTCACGATTAAATGATGTTAAAGATGATCATTATTTAAATTTAATGATGCTAATTTTAAAAATGAAAGAAATTTGAATAGAATCCCCTGTGAAAAATTGGCGTAACTAAACGCTGAGGAAATAGTCGCTATCAAAGGATTTTTGACTCGTTTTAAGTTATATAAAATGATTCAATACTTCACAAACTGTGACGATGTATGCCAGCTTTACTGAACCACTTGTTTTAAATTATTGAATATGTTACCTTAAAATGTGAATGCTATTCATATTCGTAATAAGAATTGGAGAAAAATTGTAAGGGGGGCTTGATTATGTGCAATAATGGGTGTTATTATGTGCAATAATGGGTGTTATTATGTGCAGTAATGGGTGTTAGTATGTGCAATAATGGGTGTTATTATGTGCAATAATGGGTGTTATTATGTGCAATAATGGGTGTTATTATGTGCAATAATGGGCGTTTTTATGTGTTATAATACCAACAATTGATGTTCACCCTCTCCTCACCCGCCACCCGCTCCCCCCTCATGACGTCACGGCAGCCCAGCACAAGACGGCACCCGCGGCTCACGAATTGCCGCGCTGCTTCCTTGCCGACGTCTGTGAAAAGAGGCACATTTTTTATTCATTTTCAGTGGTTACACCCCTAAAATAATAATCAATTACATAGTTTATTTCGTATTTTAATTCAAAATAATTTGAATACGTATTCAGTAAAAATTTTCATGTTAATGCAAGCGATTTTGATTTAAATAATTATATATTACACCAAATTCTGAGGTTACAATAACAACAATGGAAAAAAATAGGAAAATCGGAACGAAAAACCGGAAAAAATGACAAGAACAGACAGAAAATACATGCGCATGCTTAGGATACTGGTAGGTATTTGGGGTTAGGTTGGAACTATCGTTAATTAACAACTAATTAACATAATTAATTGTTTGAGTAAAAATGAGACAAAAAAACGTAAATATCTTACCGCTGGTGGCCCCCGTCATGACAACTGTACGACCGTCCAGACGAGTGAAGTTCTTGCAGTAAGTCACCTGAAAAAAACTAAATATTTACTTTCTAATAAATTTTCTTCTGTAGTACAATTAATATTAAAATAAACAAGGAATAATGAAGGATTTACAGTATTTCATTGTGATTCATATCAAAGATAAGTAATAACTAATAAATGAAACATATGCATTGTTTCGTGTTTCACACCAATAAAAATTCTTTATTTTTTTTTCGCGTGATGAAATTCACGGAAAAACCAATAACCAATTAACGAATCGTCTCCGAATAAATACACGTGCGCCTTGCTCTGAAAAATAGAGTACGGAAAATTATTTTAAGAGACATTTCCTGTTGAATCGGAAGACACGTGAGCTTTGCCACGGATTTATATTTTTCCGAACGATTTATGAAGTCAAACAAACTGACAATATCAAAGCCACGTGTGGAATTAATAAATATTTTTATTGCCCTTACTTAACTGAACAAGCACAACGCAACATTTCGATCAGTTATTATGTTCGGTAATTATCGTCCGACCTATGGACTCTAATTTGAGTTATTCAGATTATTTACAATAAAAAACATTGAACTGAGAACAGCAATAGCTAGCGGACAAATTGATGAATTATAGTTGGGTGAAGTAGAAGGAAACATTCTCTCACAACACTGATAACTTATCTCACCTTCCTGTTGAAGTAGTAAGCGATGATGCCTTACTGATAACAGTAACAAGTCTCACCTTCCTGTTGAAGTAGTAAGCGACGATGCCTTACTGATAACAGTAACAAGTCTCACCTTCCTGTTGAAGTAGTAAGCGATGATGCCTTACTGATAACAGTAACAAGTCTCACCTTCCTGTTGAAGTAGTAAGCGATGATGACAACACACACAGCTGATGGTATCATCAGCATCAGGGTCCAATATAACATGTTCACTATGAACATCATCACCCACGTCACTATCATCGAAGCATACATCGTTACAAGTAAAAGATCATTCGTGAAAATAAATCTTTGTTTTCAATACAATGCTCCTTATAATGTATTGCAACACGGCTCATTCTATTATATACTACATAACACGGTCGACTAGAGACAACTAGAGAGTGACAACTAGAAAGAAATGCTAAATGCTAAATAGAATAGTCTCGATGTGCAATGAAAATGTCTGCACAAATCAGATTTACTGCGAATTATCTTTTGAACACGTTTATAAGTGACGCGACAAGTTGACAATCACTATTATGGAAGAAAAGAGAATTCAAAGCTTTAATGGAGAAACGAATACTGTTTATATATAAAATGGTCAGGGAAAATTTGTGACCTCCAGAAACTAAGTTTAGAAATCACGAAAATAAATTTCGATGATAATTTGAGAAATGATACAGGGGTTAGACAAAATAAGGGAAATACCTGAGAAATCCACAAAATACATTTTAGATGGTATAGAGCCACTTTTTGCGGCAATTACAGCCTCAATTCTCCGAGGTATTGATTCATACACATTGCGAATTGTATCCAAAAGAGTATTAACCCATTCTTCAGTTAAAACTCCCTCCAGCTCTTTCAGAGACGATGGCAGTAGGAATCGACTTCTGACTTGCATCGCGAAAATCGAATATAAATGCTGGATAATATTCAGGTCTGGTGATTGTGGTGGCCAAATGAGAAGCTCAACTTCATTAGAATGTCCCTCATGCCATTTTTAGCGCATTTTCTCATTTATGAAAAAAATGCACTATTGTGCTCGCCATGTCCGTCCGTCTGTCTGTCTGTCCGTCCGTGACTTCACATGTTCGTCGACATGAAAATGCGCTCTCTGTCACTCACTGCAGTGAGTACTGAGTTATATTTTTTACAATTTCAACTGTAGAGATTGGGGCATTATCATCTTGAAAGCAGGTGTTCCCTCCCGGAAACAGCGAAACAGCGCTTGAACCATTGGATGAACTTGGTCCTCCAAAATTCCTAAATAGTCACGGCTGTTGATTCTACCATGAAGAGAAATCATTGGTCCGCCAGATTTCCAAGAAATAGCAGTCCAGATCATGTTTTACGGTTGGGAGGAGGCAGTCGGGATTAAATGACTCTTTCGGCTTGTCTTCAAGCTTAAACTCGGCCAGCGGTTGAAAATCAAATAAACAATGATTCGTCAGAGAAAATCATATTTTTCACTGGTCGAGGGACCAATTTTGGAGGTTTTTTGCACCACTCTAAACGCTTTAAAGGATTTGTATATGAAACCAGAGCTTTTATAATTGTAGCTCTTCCATAGAACCAAGGTCTTTGCAGCTCTCCGCGGATAGACTTTATAGTAACTGGGTTCTGTAGGTGTCTATTGAGGTTTGCAGTAATTTTAACAGCCGTGGTCTTTCGATTGTCCCTCACAATTCTATTTAGGTGCCGACGGTCTCTCTCAGACAACTTCGACTTTCGGCCATACCTGTGCTTTGCTAAGGACGTTTCTCCTTCTATTTCAAAAGTTCAAAAGCAGTCATTACTTTTTAGGCAGTACCTCTTGAATTGTCAATCATTTGACAAATTTCTGTCACACTAGCACCTGCCAAAGGGCCACCAACAATTTGGCCTCGATGAAAGTCAGAGAGGTTTGCCATTTATAGGTAGTATTAAGACACAAAAATTTACTAAAAATATCTGTGCACGGATCAAATATTAATTATCAGCAACAATAAACAAAATAACATGTGTTTAAAAATTACTTTTTAAAGACAACACAGCTAAAGAATCCAATGCCTCTGATGTTACATATGTACAATGAATTTCTAATTTATTTTCGTACATTAAAAAAATTATTTTTTTTTTAATTTTAAACAAATTAAATATTCAAAATTATTTATTCTGTTATTCGATTCATGCATTGTCTCCGACTTTACCCAAGTGTGCAGAATTTCAGATCGATTGGACAGGTAGAAGTGTGTTAAATACCGATTATAAGATTTGTGGCAGTCAAACAAGAAGTGAAGTTAAAGAGATGTGTTGTAATAATAAAATAATATACGTTTAAAAAGTACTTTTTAAAGACAACACTTCTAAAGAATCCAGTGTCTCCAATATTAAAGATGTACAATGAATTTCTCATTTCATTTTCGAAAATTAAAAAAAAATAATTTTTCAAAAATTTTTAATGTATAAAGTTTTTTCAAAATTATTTATTCTCTCAATTGATTCATGCATTGCCTCCGACTTTACGCAAGTGTGCAAAATTTCAGATAGATTGGACAGGTAGAAGTGTGTCAAATATCATTTATAAGATTTGCGGCTGACAAAATTATTTTGTCAATTTTTTTAATATTAAATTTTTTTTTTAATTTTCAAAATTATTTATTCTGTCAATTGATTCATGCATTGTCACCAACTTTACGCAAGTGTGCAAAATTTCAGATCGATTGGGCAGGATAGACGTGTATTAAATATCGATTATAAGATTTGTGGCAGACAATCAAACAAACAAACAAACAAACAACAAGAAGTGAAGTTAAAGAGAAGTGTTGTAAAAATTTGCGTTTAAAAATTACTTTTCAAAGACACACTTCTAAAGAATCCAGTGTCTCCGATATTACACATGTACAATGAATTTCAAATTTTATTATCAAATATTGAAAAAAAATAATTTTACATTTTATTTTTAAAATTAAACAAATTAAATTTTGTAAAATTATTTATTCTGTCAATTGAATCATGCATTGCCTCCAACTTTACACAAGTGTGTTAAATATCGATTACGTATAAGATTTGCATCAGGCAAACAAGAAGTGAAGTTAAAAAGAAGTGATGTAATAATAAAAATATGTTGCGGTTTCAATGCTTATAACATGTCCAAAAAGTACGATATCAAAATGTCACATGTTTCCCTTATTTTGTTCAACCCCCGTTTCTCTTTTGGTATTCAGAGTAGAGCACGCATTATCTTTTTTACGGTGGAGATAGCATAGATAACGGGTTGTACTCGTAGTAGCTTCTTCAAAATAAATATTTTTATCGTCTGTGATGAAGGATTGAAAGTACTGTTAGTGATGATGTCGCTATAGTGAAAGATGATCGTAGAACTGTATTACTATCATATCCTTGCTACTGAAAACTACGATAAGAAAAGTATATGGATTATCGTTCTCGTCAGTATAAACGAGTGTCTGACGCGGGATTGGATCGTGGCAACAAATTACGATTGCATTTGAGATGGTAAGTGGGGCAGCCTTTGTTCAATTAATGGAAGACAAAAACTCATTCAAGTGACATTGATTTATTGAACGTCAATAATATGTAAACTCTTCCTGCCAGCGTCTTGTAAAATTTTTAAATACAATCTATCACGACTGATAGAAAAGTATTTTATTACGAAAAATTTCGTATTACTTTTTGTTGACCTAAGTGAATTAATTGCATTTTTTTGTAATTCATCCACAACATTAACAACGTTCAACAGCATCAACTTCAGCTTCTACGACTTCCGTTACGTTAGTAAAAGTAGTGCTTTTTATGTTCGTGTTCTCATATACCTCTGCAAATTTTTCTCTAAACATAATTTTCAAAGTTTACAAGAAAAATCGTGGTTTGATAATTATTGCATTTCTATTGGCTTTAGTTTTACCATCAGCTTTCCATTCACATTTCTTTGTACAAGCGTCTCTATACACATGATCGAACGCGGTGCATGACCTTTAATTAACATACTATCGGTAACAGACACAATGGAATCAAATTGATCGACAGAATGCCTAGAAAAACTTCTAGAATATATTTTTCAAAGTAAATTATTAAGATACGAATTATTCAGGCGGGAAACTTAAGCACACCGGCTAGAGTTTTTGGCAGCGTGAACACTCCGTCACCGATACCAAGGAACTGACTCCAGTCACTCCACCTGTAAGACGGGCTACCGCGAGCATGACCGCTAAGGCGGTTCGTAGACCGTTAGTCCTAAGAGATTTTCTTGGGACTGTGAGCTACAGGTCTCTCCGCCTAATGTTCATTATTCTATGGCTAAATATTGAGCAATAAATTCAAATTTTATTGCTTTCTTTCATTCTTTCTGGATTTTATCATGGAATAAATTGTATAACAAAATCATTTGAAAACCATACAGTAAAGTTGTACGCTACTTTCTCTTTCGAGAAAATAAATGCGGATTGCCCAATGTTTACGTTACTACGTAGGAGGTTATCCGCTGTTTTCTTACAAGTAACAGCTGACCACTTCTTCAACGTCAAGCCTGCCACAACAACAACGTACCTAGTAACCTAACAGCTGACCGAAAAGAAGAATGAATAACATACTAAATTTACAGGCCTTTATGCAACATTTTTTTTAATACTTGTAATCGTTTCTGTGCAAATGCTACTAAGGGAATGGATTTTTCATCTCAAAAAGATCTTCTTTTAAAAGAATTCTTGGGATCGGTGAAAGCTTGCCAGGTAAATTAAATATAAAGTGATTGATTATTAATTTATTTTCTAGAGATTTTTATTAATATTTGTATTAACAACTGTGACTTGGTGTAATCATGGTAATAAGCATGTTCTTATATCATGTTGGATTGGATTGCCTGAAACTTCTTAATTATCAAATCCTGTACTGGCTGTACAATTAGCTATGCATGAAACTTTCAGTTTCCAAAATACTAACTTGTGAAACTGGAAATTGGAATAATCTATTTCACTTTTTCATTTTGCTTACAATTTTGCCCAGGATTCCAGAATAATAGGAAACACTGTAACAGACTTAGTTTTCAACTTTTCAGGCTTTCAAAAAAATGGAAAATAACATATGAAAGGAACTTAGGAAGGAAGTACATTTAGCATAAATTTACCTATGTTCATGCAATGATGCAATCATACACTTAATTATTAAATAAGGTACACTATGATATATATACTCACTTAAATATATACTCATTATAACACATACACTTAAATTAGTGAAATATATAACCTACACTCTTCATATTATTTTGTGGCAGCCACAATTCTGCTGCTACTTAACCCATTAATGACGAGAATTATTTTCTGAATTTTTTTTTGGTTCCTTGTGAGAATATTATCATTTGTGATGGTAATAAGCAAAAAATATGTTCATATATTTATTTTTCATTGTATGTGAAAAATTATAGCTTGGTTCCATATGGAACCGCTTGGCATTAACATAACATTTCTTCAAACAACACTTTTTCTGATAGTAAATCAAGCAAGGTTGTTCATAATCGTTAATACGTAATAGTATACGTATTCATAATGGACAATACTGATGATAAACCAATCATGGCAGAATACAATTCAATTTTTAGCATAGAATGCTTCCATTCATTCAAAATGAATAGGAAGGTTGCCCATTTTACGTATGTTTGTGGGTGCGTTGTCAACATTGTTTACGAAGCACTGCATTTGCAGTGCTTCTGACGACACTTTACTGGCCGATGTTGTTGATTGTTGTATTGCACTTCATCAAGGATCGAAGTAGAAGGGTGCACTATAGACCCTGATTGTTTTATTTAGGGTCTCCTGCATTATCACATTTCCTAACAGATATTTCTCAAAATTTATTGCAATAGCCATTCTTTTTTTCAAAAGTTTTTTGAGAAGCTAAATGAAACCAGAATAGATATCACATAGGTATAATAAGTTGGCTTGGGACCAATTGTATCATTTTTATGGGACCAACCCATATTCCAGCCCATGAATAAGTTTCTTTTTCTATTAGATCTGCCGATTGGCTTCAATATCAGAAAACTATCATCTGATTTATCTGCTGCCCAAAGTTTAAAGTTTATAACTAAATCTCACGGGCTAGCCACGTATATGTCGTAGTATAATGTTGCCATGTCGGCCACAGTTGACTTACTTCTCTGTCGATAGTCATTGTTTTCACATTTGGTGATTACTGTTGCTGCAATGACTATTCTCGACAGGCGAGCATAATTGCTAGTGGCTGCGTCATCTGAGTTATCTGAATCTCAGTATGTTTCGTTTGTTGCTGCTTCCGTGAAAGGTTCAGTAGCAAATATTTGATCTTTGTGTTATTCTTCTCTCGAAATCTCAATTATTTCATGTGATGATCTGCCAAAAATACAACTAGAAAAAAGTGACTTGGATGAAAAATTGTATAGTGTTCTACGTACCTACTTCCAAATATATCAATTTTTGGGATATATATACTCCTAACAGCTCTTAAGATAATAGTTCACTAATAAATAACAGAAAAAGTGTAGATCTAAGATCTAAATAAATAATTTCTAAATACAAACAAGTTTTTGAAATACAATGCGTAACTATATCACAAAGTAATCTACTGGGAAAATGATATGACCAGAATGCTTACACTACTGCCGAGCGGTTACATTTGGAACCAGACAAAATATTTCATAATCCAAATGACTTTAGAAACATTATATCACGTAATACCATATACAGAACTAAAAGCACTCTCTTTATCGATAAAATTCTGCATCTAACTTATAAATAATATATTCTTAGAACAAACTACTTACCTTTCTCTGCAATGATGTCAAGCCCTTCTGTCTGACACCCGGTACTTATAATCTTTTAATGTTAACTGAGCAGAGAGTAGTCGGCGCAGCAGAACCAAACATTGCCAGAACACGTACAAGATGTGTATCAAACCTACGCATACACTAGTATATTGATTTGACCATACAATTTTATTATGTATCTATTTTTTTCCGCTGGTTCCAAATGGAACCGCTCGGCATTAATGGGTTAACATTAATTCACCAGCTTTTATCTCTTTTCCTGTTATTGATTTGCATTTTTTCCAGGCCAAGTATGGTAGTAAACAAGAACTAGCTACTGAAGCAGACCCAAGAGTATGCAGCGTGTGCTCCTCCGTTGAGCAGTTTCTCTGCCATGGCATCAAGCTCTCTAATTCAACCGGTCCTTCTGACTCTTCAGTTAGTGCTATAAGGTGAGCATACTTTATTGCCTTCTTGCAGAAAACAAATGAGTCTTACTGTCTTATATGAGTTAGGTACCGTATATCTTTAGTGACAAATGAAAGACCAAATGAATGTTCCTAGAGTAGATTTTGATGACCATTGCCCAATTGACTCAATCCAAATATGCAATGATTGTAAATGTAATCATTGTATTATAATTACAATATATGCTATGAAAATTAACTATATTGCAATTGAAGTAAAATTAAACTACAAATACCTTTATTGTAACTATTATTAGCAATTTCTATTACGTGCTGCTATTCTAACTATAGATTCCATTCTTTTTCAACTGTGAAAATATAGATAGGTTAGTGATGCTAAGTAGGTACATTGAAAGATTTTGCTTGTTTTAGAAAGACATTTTGGTGGATAGTTTTTGCAATAAATTTTCAAATTGTAGTCTATGTCCAGATTCTCAGTTCTCAGAAAACAATTTCAATATTAAAAAATAGCTTTTGAAAAGTAAGTGAAATTTTCAAAAAAGACACCTGGAGACTATGTAAAAGATTATGATGATTTAGCAATGATGAGTACAATGCAAGCAAACAATAATGTATATCTGCTCTAGAATACATAACTTGGAGCTAGTAACCAATAAACATTCAGCTGCTTTTTCTGAAAACATTATTTACTGGCTTTTAAAAGGTTAAATTTTCACTGTGCAATTGAACATCTACAACTGAATGAATAATCTTCATGTAAATTAAACATCATGTTTATATATTCACTACTGTATTTAAATACTACCTTAAACTTGGCATTGTGATAAATTCAACAGAAATATTGAAAGTGTGACATGTTTTTTTTTAAATTTCAAGTTATGAATATTTTCTCTTCTTTGCAGACAGGTGACTGAGTACGTTTCTTCTGGCCTTCAGTTGAGTTTTGGCAGCAGTTCTGACAGCAGTGCCTCCTTATTGCCTCATGGTGATCTTCTGTTATAATTCTAATAAATAAATGAATCTTTTGCTCCTTTGTCTGTATAAGAAACAGTTTACACTGTCAGTACTGCAAAGACTCTCTTTTTTAAGGAATTGTGAATATAGCTCCAATATAAATAGTATAAAATTTTATGCAATTGCTTCACTACACAAATTACTATATAGGCCATAAATTTATATCTATATAAAAAAGTCATTTTTATGTCGGTATAGTTCAAATTTTACAAATTTGATCCGATTTTTGTTCATAGAGTAAAACTGTTCATCATCAGTATTTGTCCGTTACAGCTGTGGCATGGACTTTCATCTCATCACAGCTGACTGCTCACGAGGCATCACGCTTCTTGCGGCTCCGCCATGTAGCCTGCGCCACGGGCAGACTGCGAGCTTGGATCAGAAGTGCTCTCAATGAACACTCAATGGAACGATACCTCAGAGTGAGAGCCGTAGCATAAAGAAACAAATACTTCAGAAACCAATTTTGATTCTCATCACTTCACTACCTTGACATGTTGAACTAATACTTAGCCTGATTTGATGACGTTTTTTTCATTTGTGTTAAACTAGAAGTTGTAGTTTTTGTTTTTAGGGTTTTCTTTTGTCCCTTCGATTATTAATTTCTGTGTACTATGTAATGAGACTTGCTTGCTTTATTCATGTTACAAAATTATTATCAAAGTTTCTTCCATGAAATGTCTTGAGCTAAATTTTGTGAAAAATCTGTTAATTTATAAATCCGGTCAGTTGAAATTGGAAAAACTTTAATTACATTTTTCATAATTGTAAACTGAAAGCTTTTACTCGATTTAAAAGAAATACAAAGATTGGATACTTTTTTGGTGTCATTGCTGAAAGATTTTACTCAAAATTGAAAAGAAAAAATATTTATTTGAAGTTTTTTTGTGTCATTTATTTCGTGGTCACAACTCGTGTGGTTGTTGCCAGATCCTGCTGAGCAATACACTCTCCTTGGAGAAGCACTACGAGCCCTGGGCGTTCCTCAGAGACTCGTCCAAGGTGGCTGAACTGCCGCAACTAGCGCAAGGTATGGCTTCTTATTATTCATAAATTAAAATTACCAGAGCTATTTGGTAGAAAATTTAAACCGCATCAACTTGCGCAAGGTATGGTTTCTTCTTTTTATTCATAAATTAAAATTACCAGAGCTATTAGGTAGAACTTATGAACAGCCTCAAGTTGTTCTAAGTTGGATTTTTTGCTTGTATTCACTATGTAAATTAATTATTATTTTTTTATTAAGCAGATATTTTGAGCTGCCTCAACTTGCACTAGGTCTAATTTTTTGTTTGTATTCATGCATAAAATTAATTAATAAGCATTAATTTTTATTAAAGCTCTATTCGTAGATAGTTTCCTTGTATTAGTTCTAATTATGAGACTGCTTGAAGGGCTTGAGAAATTAGAATTTTTTTGGTATATACTATATTTATTTATATGTATGCTTATAAGTCTTTGAATAATTTAAATAATTCATGTATCATCGATCCACTGACTGCCTTCAAAGCATTGAAAATGAGTGCCGGGTGTTGTTTGCTGAATCTGCAACATTTGATTTTTTCATTTTATCTTATGTTTGCTACTAAACAATTAGCATGAATTTCTTCCTAAGACTTCTTGGTTGTCTAAATTATGTACTAAACTCAATTCTCGGGCACCCATACAAGAACTTTTGCGTTCTTAATTGCATTTAATTTTCCAATCAACAATTTTCCTTCCTTCATGACTGCATTTAACAATCGACGAATAATATATACCCTGAAATTTTCGTGATCACATTACCTTTTCTATTTCTGTTATTGCAGGTCTTGGCAAGATATTCTTCGCGCTTATCATAGACAAGGCCAACATTTGTAAGGACACGGGATGCTCTGAACATCGCTCGTCTCGGTCGTCCGCAGATTTGTCGCTCCACTCTGGTCGCTCCGTTCACCTCGTTGCTGCCTTGCCTAGGAGTAAAAGCCAGGATAAAGGTAATATTTCATTATTTCACATCATATGACTGAACTCTGCCCTTAATTCATGATGGTAATATTAAAAATTATGGGTTTTTCAAGAACTTGAAAGAATATAGGACGTTTAGGAGTACACCTTCAACGTCTGTTTAGAATTCTATAAAATATACTTATAAGTCCTATAAAACCTTTTATGGGGTTTTTATTCTGGTTTCATTGTTCTTTGGGATTCAGTGCTAAACTTGTTTCTCTGTACGACTGAACTGATTAGTTGTGCGGCATTTTGTGATATTTTCAAATGTGACGAATTTACACACAATCGGCATTTTCACTACCTACCAGTCACTATTGCACATCTCAATTGTACATCTGTGACTTGCATCCTTATTCTTTTCTGGTTTTATTTATTTATCAATGGTAAAAAACCTAATATGATAATATCTTTTATTGAATGAAAACAAGTATTCCCCAACGGTGTATGTTGAGATGTTTCCTATGAGCTAAGAACGAGGTTATTAAAATTAGGTATGTCTATGTTATAAAAACGTAAATCAGTAAATAAATATGGCACTTTACAGGGTTGTCTGCTGTTGTGCAAAGGCGTGAACTGAAGCGCAGAAAGAAGAAGGCGCCATCCCAGCTCGTATCTTTTGACGAGGACCCGTCCATCAACCCAGCCAGGTGTCACTCTTCTACTGATGCTGGTAAACTTACGTCTAATTTGACATAGTAATATTTGGCGACAGATATTAGTGATGAAGGAAGACTGCTCTAGGCACATGTTAGTTAAATGATCTTGAGGTAGCCTTGCTTCTTCTGAGTTTTGAAGCATTTGATAGTACGAGAATTAGGTAGGTATGGTTTAAAGCAGTGTTTCCCAAAGTAGGCGATATCTCCCCCTGGAGGCGGTGGAAAGATTTGGGGGGCGGTGAGGAAAAAAAGGGGCTGTAGGGGGGCGGCAGTCCGCGAAGTCGAAGTCTGAAGTTCGTAAGTTTGTTTGACGATTTGTACACAACACATGCAGAACATGACTCAGACTCGAATAAATTTCCACGAGAGAAAAATCACCGTTTGGTAGTTAGGAATTAAAAATTTCGTTCGAATCTGTTCAGTAGTTTGGAACAAATATTTTGATCACTGCGAATTTCTGCCCATATCGTCATAGAACTCCCGAATGAAGGTGAAATTTAAAAATTTTTCACGGGCTAAACATCACCGTTAGGTCCTAGTGAATACGTGTTCAAAGTTTTATCGAGCTGCGTTAATTAGTTTGGGAGATATTCCTTGGTCACTGAATTTGGAGATAGGCCGTGAGACCGGCTGCGAGACCGGCCACGAGTCCGGTCGTAAATTTGTCCGAGCCGTCATGAATTTCTAGTGCTGAAACGGTCAAAACTGTAAACTGTGTGGTTTACTAAGTAGGGTTCTATTTGTGAAATACACGTTTCTATTTAACCTATCTCTTAAAAACTGCAGCGTACTAAATATCAAGAAAGAGGAGTTTGTTTTTATATGTGTCTGTCGGGGAGGGTGCGCTAGCACTTTAACCGCATCGTGACCCATATGTGGGTCACGCGTGTCTGTCTCAACCTGCATCGTGACCCACATATGGTGCACACCCTTAAATTTATAATAATTGATTAAACTTCAATATTAACCTCCTCAATCACATTTTAGGTGTTATAAGTAAAGGATAATGATGACGATAATGTATACTAAGCATATATTTTGCGTGTAGCGAGTAAACATTATTAATCATTCTTCGTTGAACTTGAGTCCTTAGGCGCTCTATGACGAAATGGAATGCTTCAGATTGAAGCATGATACGCACAGATATGGTTTATTTTCGCAAGTGTCGCAATAAGTGTTTATCTTGCAAGTTTTTGAACGGGCTACTTTAGTTCCTTCCGCATTGGCAATTTGGCTGTAGCAAGACAGACATCTCTTCCTCTTCTTTAATTACTCTCCACATCGTGCACCTCTATTGGTGCACGGGGATCGTGACCCCATGTAGCGCACGATGCACAAAATGAACACAGCTTTTACTGTCCACATCATGTACCACATATGTCCCACGAATTTTATAACACCAAATATTTGTACTTACGTTCATAGAGCGACACACAACCTCTCGTCTTCCTGGCTCAATGGTGACTGAAGCAATCGTAGTTTGAACGAGATGCAGACGGGGCATAATGGCGATTCTCGGAGATGCGGTTAAAGTGCTAGAGATTCACAGGGGAGCCAATGGGGGCGCCAGGCTGAACAAGTTTGATAACCACTGGTTCAAAGTAGCGTGTATATCTTGTTTTCTGGGATAATAAATATGATGGAGAAATAAGTTATGAGAATTATTCCTTTCTACGTTAGTAAATTAATCATTCCTTCAAGTGGTACATTTACGTTGGTCTATTCTATTGAGTGAAAAAACTGAATTAGTTTCTATGTATTAATCAGTGACTGTATTTATTAATGCATGTCAACTTCCGACCAGGCTCCACTAAGTCTCAGGACAGTTTAGACCGACACGAGTCCCCCTTGTGGGTGCAGTCCGCCCCCACGACGTGCCTGAACAGCCCCGCGCTGTCGGGGGGCTCGGCGACCCCCTACGCCGACACCATCGACCAGCTCATGGCCTGCAGCGACGACGCCTTCTCGCACCCCGCCGGCCTGGACGTTGCGCTGGATGCTGCTGCGCTGCTCGAGGAAACTAGTGGTGTCGTTAGTTGCACTGAGTCTGTTGCTGGTGTTACTAGTAGCAATGAGTCTGCTGCTGGTGTCACTAGTAGTACTAAATCTGCTCCTGGTGTTGCTAGCAGCAGAGAGTTTGCTGCTGGTGTCAGTAGCAGAGTGAAGACTGCTGCAGAATCTAATTTCAGTGTTACTTGCACCACCAAGTTTGCCGCTGAGTCTGATGCTGGTGTCACTAGGAGCAATGAGTCTGCTGCTGATGTTACTAGCATCAGAAAAGATGTGGGTGAAGTGGACAACCAAAAGAAAAGTCCAAGTGGAGATGGCAACTGTGATGGAAAGGTTGATAAAGATGGCAACTGTGATGGAAAGGTTGATAAAGATGGCAACTATGATAGAAAGGTTGATAAAGATGGCAAATGTGATGGAAAGGCTGATAAAGATGCCGACTGTAATTTTAATTCGAAGCAAAGCGCGATTAAATGTGTGGATTTGGAAAAAATCCTTTGTGCCCCTGTGTTTAGGTGTGAAAACTCTGGTGAATCTCAAGTAAACTTAAGTATATTTCCTAAACATGAGCGTGTGGCTGTAAGTTCTGCAAGTATTCAGAGTAGTGAAAATTGTATACAAAATCTTGAGTCACCTGCTGTACTAGAAGTCGCAGGTTGTAAAAACTCTTTGGATCACGTAGTATCAAATTTACCTGTCGATGACCATTCATCAACTTTAAAGTCAGGTAGCAAACTCTTTAATTGTTCGCACCCTAGACAAGAGATGGACGAATCGCCAATCCAAACTTGCGATGATCTATCTCCGGAATCCAAACAAACATCTTGTACGAATTTATCCGACATCTCCTCCACCTCTTCACTATCAAGAAAGTCTCCTAATCAATTGAATTACTGTACAACGTTTGGTCTTACAAACGATAATCAGCGCGGCAATTCAAGTGGAGCCAAATGTGACAGCCGCTTGTCAGAACTCCATAATGAAGACATGAATGTGAATTGTGCAGAGAATTCATTTTTAACGAGTTCTAGTAATTCCCGTGCATCTGTGAGGCCTGATATTTTAAATGTGATTCATGGCGAAGATACTAGCCATGGTCCGCGTGACCGCAGTACCACTGTAGAAAAACAACATTTTAATAAAACTGCATTTCTTGGCCAACCTTGGTCCGAACGTAGTTCTGTGAAGCCCACATGCGAAGACGATTCTGGCACAAATCGTGCTTCTAACGACCGAATGATTTCCAACGAACGCGTTTGCCTTTATTCAGTCCCAACCTCAGCCTTGTCATATCCTCCCAAACTGCTGGAATCTTCTCAAATTTGTGCCACTGTAAATAATACCTGTGGCGTTGATACATCCACTGATCCCATGTCGCGATCTTACGTTAAGTCCATAAGCCAGGATTCAGAGAGAGGTGGGGGCTGTTACAACGACGTTCTAGAAGAACTGCTCAACGCATATTGCCCAGCGCCTCCTTATTCCTCTCAGCCTTTTAGTTCAATACCAAAGGCACGGGATGGTTATTCTGCTCAGATTCTACCTACTACTGACGATGTTTACTATTCATCGGATCGATCTCTTCAACGTAATTTAGAAACATTTTATCCGTCTGTAGATATATTATTAGATAATCGTGGCTTACCTTCAGTCGGTGTTACTCGGGATTCGTCTCAGTCAATGTCCGGAGTAGATTTAGGCTGCAGAGCAACGAAATCCAATCCAGATTCATCAATCACAATGAGTGTATCTGGACCAAATCATTTACTGTCCAAAAGAAATGATCTTTCTACAATAGAAACACCTCAAAAAACTCTTTGTATAAACTCCCACACTTCAACGGAGTCTTGTAACCATCGTTTGGAGCACACAAGTGTGAAAAATAGCGAGAATGAATCATGTTTGCATGGTGAAATCCGTGTAGGTTTAGAGACTTTTCCTACGGCCTCTGAAGAGGAGCAAGAGGAACATGACCTCAGCAGCTCTCATCATCCAAATGTAACGTCAACATCAATTTCACGTGCATCTTCTACAGCAATAAATGCGTTTAAAACGTCGATTGATGCAGCCAAACCAGCTGAAGAATCGTCACTCCAAACTTCAATATCAGTTACGTCAAACTCGACAGTCCCTTTAATAGCCAAGGGCTCGAATATCCCTGTTCAGTTGTCAAGAAATAGAACAATTTCTCCTAATACAGCTACTATACTTGACCAGTCGTCAAATACTACACAAGTTTTGCCTTTTTCGTCGAGCAAAATAACGATCAAGTCAAGCTCGTCAAGCGTTCCCTCGTCAACAGCAGATCGCTCATCCCTCGGCACCAGAAAAACTCATAATAATTGTAACCGCAGTGAAGGAAGCAGCAGCGACTTGGACTTGGGGTCGCATAAGTCAAGCTTGTCCAACTTGTCGGATGGCAGTGCTTTTTCCAGGTAAATCAGATTCAAGGATAAAAATATTTAAGATCGATATTCATAATGTTTAATTTTTTTAATGTTTCGGTTATATTATTATTGAAGCATGAATTAGTACATATTTAAGTTTGCAGCAGACATATACAGTATATTGAAAATTACATCCTACACTCAATAGAGTGGGCACATCAAGCTCAGTTGAAGTAATTAAACTTTTTTAAGTTTTCATTAATGGCGTTGCTTTTTTCAGCGATGCCGAGGCTTCAAAATCTGAGCTATTAAACAAACGCGTGACTGCTTCCGCTAGCGCTGCTGCAGAGCCTCCGTTGGCGGTGAGTTAGGCCATTTCTGTTAAATTTTGGTACCATTTCTGTTCAAACTTGATTCTTCTTCTGTAAAAATTCTGTTCGCTATCTGTTCCAGTTTTGCAACATTTCTGTTTAAAATTTTCAAAATGTATTTTTAAATTTGTTTCTATATCTAGTAAAATTACTATAACTACGGTACTATTCAATTTTGATTATATATTTTTTCATATTTGTTATCATTTCTGTTCAAGCTTTGTTCCTTTTCTATTCAAATTTGGCACAAGTTTTTAAAAATTTTATCAGCCACTCAAGTTCGTGCGACTTTTATTGAGCTTAGTGAAAAAACTTCTAAATCCTCCAAAATTTATCATAACGGCAAATTTTTTCATAATATTTGGATAATAAAGACACCTTTAAAACTTACTGGCTATATGGTAGATAAGTAACATTGTTAGAGTAACATTGCTTGCCGCTAGCTTTATCGTTACGATTATTTTTTGTGTGTATTTTCCAGACAGTCGAAAGTGTTTCTGCTGTCGTCACTACTTCTAGCTTCTCCACGTTGTCAATAGGTTTGTCTAAACTCATGTGTTAATGATCCATTGAATTCTATGTAACTTTATATTAATCGAAACATTGCCATCATCTGCTACAAGTAAATGGTTTTCAATATATAATTCCATCGATTTTGCACGGTCGCATTAACTATAATCGCTTTGAATACCTACTTGTCCATTAAATATAACCATCAATTATATCTGCCAAATAAATGATCAGTTGTTACATTTTTACCGGCCAAATTTTTTTGTGAGTTAGATTATAGACGCGATCAAAAATTGTATAGTATGCGGCCAGTGCGTTTTCGTTTGTGTTCTGCTCCATTTTTAATTGAAATGTGCATGTAATTGTAATGCGTGTGGGCATTGCGGGTAATGTGTAGCGTGTAGCGGGAATTGTATTTAAAGTGCATTGCGTGCAATTATAGTTGATACGTTATTTTTTTACTTGCCGTGATTAATTTAAATTCTAGCATCAATAAGGCTCTAATTTCACTTAAAATGCAAAGGCCAAATATATATTAAGGTTGGAATTGAAATTGAGTTGAAATATTTATTACATCTTGCCGTGAATTATTATCGTGAGCCAAACTGCTTTGCTATTAATGTGATTAAGGTTTAACATTAAAATTAAATGTGATGTTCTGTTCGTATTTTTATATCTGTGTGTTCTATAATATCTCGTATATCATTTCTTGTGTATCATATCATATGTATGATAGATATCTCATGTATAGTATCTCGTGTATAATATCTTATGTATTAAATCTTGTATTAAACAGAAGAGCTTCGCACCGCTATACTTGACTTAAGCCAGCGTCGTGAAGCGTGTGAGAAGCGGAGGCGAAGCGCTGAAGAGCGCGCTGAAGCTGCTGAAGCTGAGAGCGAGGAGCTCAAGAAAGAACTCAGTGAAATGAAGAGCAAGGCTGAAGCTTGCTCTCTAGAAGCGACTCTCAGAGAAGAGGCTCTCAAGAGGTTCGTGATGGGTTCTTGCAGTTTTATTCATTAATGGTTCTCACCCTTGATTTTCATTTTGCTTATATCGCTACTTCTTACGCAACAAATTTTGCGTTTTAACCTTTCCGAAGTTTAATTTGTTGATGTTCCGTTTTTAGTACCTCTGTAACTTTTATCGCTACTTCACATGCAACTAATTTCGCTTCAAGTGTGATAAAATTAGAAAATTACCTACCAACGATTTTCCTTCATCTATTAAATTCATCTACATATTTGTGTGCAGAGAGAACGGCTTACTGAGGAAGCAACTGGGCAAATATATCAGCGCCGTACAGTTGCTGAAGCGCAAGCCTGATGACGACACTGCAGCTAATACAACTGTAGCAGATGTTGCAAATGTAGCAGCTGGTACAAGTGTAGCGGCTGGCACATATGTAGCAGCTGGTGCAAGTGTAGCAGATGAACTAGTTGTGGGTGCAGAGCTGCGACCACAGCTAGCGCTGCCACCACCACCCAAGTATCGGGACTACCATGCAGAAGCTGAGGCCTACGAGAACAAACTTATCCAGGTATGCTGGTCCTTGTAGTTTGTAACACTCATTTTGGTGTGGTTGTTGCTAGTGGTGCTTGTATATGAGGCCAGTACACGGGGCCACTAGTGGCGGCCAGTACGACTGTTGTATGCTAATTGCTACAATTATCACGCTACTGGCCTCGTGTGAAGGGTTACGTGGTCTTTCTGTGGCCACATTTGAAGCACTCTCCCTAATGGTATCGTTACACTAATCATCTAATAATAATATATAATAAAATGCTACAAATATTTCAGGTTGCTGAGATGCATGGCGAACTCTTTGAATTCAGTGAACGACTGCAGAAGATAATTCGAGTTCGCGAAGCACAGGTAAATTTTTATTCATTTTATTTAGATCAGGTCATTCATTGTCAATATTTTTGCATGAAATTGTTGTTCGAGAAAAGCATTTTTCTCCTTTTTTACATTGCGAAAAATAAATTTCATCCCATTCTCTGTTATTTAATTAAAAATCGAATTGTATCATGATTTCACAGTGCATTTTTCTCCTCTCTATGGGCATTGAAAAGTACCAATTAAATGGATAGTATATTTTATTTTAATGGAACCATAGAGTGAAACCACTAGTACCTAAAATAACGCGTGGAAATTATTTCCAGGGGAACCTAGGGGAACCATATTTTATTTCACGTATTTCCACTTATTTATATTATTTATTTAATTATTAAATTTATTTTTAATGTGTGTTGTATTAATTCAGATCGCTTCACTGCGGCGCGAGCTTGTCTCTCTCAGAGGCCCCTTACCGGACCACCCGTCTCTGGAGGCGCACCTACAGCGCCTTTAATTATTAATAATTATTAATTTATTTTTAATGTGTGTTGTATTAATTCAGATCGCCTCGCTGCGGCGCGAGCTTGTCTCTCTCAGAGGCCCCTTACCGGACCACCCGTCTCTGGAGGCGCACCTACAGCGCCTTTAATTATTAATAATTATTAATTTATTTTTAATGTGTGTTGTATTAATTCAGATCGCCTCGCTGCGGCGCGAGCTTGTCTCTCTCAGAGGCCCCTTACCGGACCACCCGTCTCTGGATGTGTATCAGGTGAGTTCTGATCAGCACCACGTGTATCAGGTGAGTTCTGATCAGCACCACGTGTATCAGGTGAGTTCTGATCAGCACCGCGTGTATCAGGTGAGTTCTGACCAGCACCATGTGTATCAGGTGAGTTCTGACCAGCACCACGTGTATACTTGAACAAGCACACATATCAGTTTGGATGAAAAACCCTAAACTAACAGATTTACCTTGTATAATTCTGGTTATATTTTTAGAAACGTTGCAAGTTACCAGAATTTATATGAACTATCATTCCTAGAATTATATCCTTGTTCTTCCTTATGTGTACAAAACGTTAGGTAAGTGCAGTGATTCATACGTCGCCCTGTGAGAGCCGGTGAGCACGACGCCTTCCTGTAGGAGGAGTAGCACAAGGTTGCAGAATGTGGACGAAAAGAAGCCTTTATAAACTGGTCTCCGAGGGTGGTAAAGACGATATGAAAGGGTGAAAAGAAACAAACAAGTTTGCTATTATTATAGATACCAACAAAGGAGCCTATATTTTATTTATTATAATACATTGCAAAGGTTAAGTGTCTTAACATTGCAGGTTTATGTGCGGATTGTGGACGACGAGTGGACAATTTACCGCCGCTTCGCGCACTTCCACGAACTGCAGCGTCGCCTGCAGAAGACCTACCCTGCAGTGAGGAGGATACCTTTCCCCAGCAGGAAACCCTTCGGCTACAAGGTGATGTGATGCACTTACACTCAAGGGAATGAGTCAGACTTTGTCCAAATAGTGATGCAATTCTCGCCCTTCGGTGTGTCATCCTGACCCAGTTTGGCTTGGAAAAAGGAAGGTATCAGTGTTTAGCTTGTTCTATGCGATCGTGTATTGTGTGAATTTAATAATTTGGACAGCATTACCCATTCATTTTCTTTTACGAAAGTTTTTCGCCGCGTTACTCAATGCAACCTGCTAGACTATGCATGTTTCTTCTATCATAAATGTTGTGCATGTATAATTTATATTGTACCGCTTATACAGTTAATCTTGTTGCAGTCGTGTAACATTACCACTAACAAAGACGTGTGCTGGTGCAGTCATCACTAATAAAGACGTGTGCTGGTGCAGTCATCACTAAGAAAGACGTGTGCTGGTGCAGTCATCACTAACAAAGACGTGTGCTGGTGCAGTCATCACTAACCAAGACATGTGCTGGTGCAGTCATCACTAACAAAGACGTGTGCTAGTGCAGTCATCACTAACAAAGACACATGTATGTGCAGGATGACAGCGTAGTGTCAGCTCGGCGCAGTCAGCTACAGGAGTTCCTACGACGCGTTGTCAACCTGTTGCTGACATGTTGCCCGCAGCTGGCAGCCTCCCCTGACAAGACCACGCTCACCGCCCTCCTGCCTTTCCTTGCGTCAGTGCACGTCACTGCTTTACATTTGTTTTAGCGTTTAAATTAATACTTAAGTTCTAATTAAATGTGAAAAGAAATGAAGATAAGTGACATTCATTTTACCTTTTTAAATTATCTAAGTTATAATTAATTTATTATAAATGTGAAAAAGAAATGATGATAAGTGACATTTATTTTACCGTTTCTAATTAATATCTAAGTTCTAATTAAATGTGAAAAAAATGATGATAAGTGATATTTATTTTACCGTTTTAAATTATCTAAGTTCTAATTAATTTATTATAAATGTGAAAAAGAATTGATGGCAAGTGACATTTATTTTACCCTTTTAAATTACCTACCTAAGTTATAATAAGGTATATTATAATTGTGAAAAAGAAAAGATGATAAGTGTTTTTTTGTTCTGTTTCATTGTGATTTGTATTTTTTTTCATTTATGATTGTGATTTATTTATTTTTTATTTTTATACCAAATTTTTTCGCAGTTGTAATTATAAAAGTATAATCCTAATGAAATTCAGAAGAAATGAATGGAAGTTGTTTTTTGTGCTCCGATGTATTGATTTTTTTTTTGTTTTAGAGAAACTTACAACATTTGCCTAGTAAATTATTGGTTCAAATTATCAAAGTTGCCTTTAATTATAGTAAAATGATTGACACTTGTGATAAAAAAAATTTGTATTCTGTTCTTTTTTATTACACTTTTTCTTGTTAAAGATTAATGTAATAATTTTTTGTGTAGGAGCGTCTCGAACGAGAAGCAAAAGCGAGGGAAATGATTAAGGAAATATGAGATAATAGAGCAGCAATTTAATGAAATATCATTGATATAATAAATTATTCTCAATGATCAAGGTAATAGAAATTTATCAAGAATTTAAAAAGGTGAGAAGTTCTGGACTGTCAAATGATGTTGTTTGTGATGTGCAGAGAGAACATCACCAACAACGTCACCGCCACATCCCGCCCCTTACAGCCGCAGTACAGCGGCCTCTGATGACGTCACTTGCAGCTGTAACGTCGCTTGCAGCTGTAACGTCACTTGCAGCTGTAACGTCACTTGCAGCTGTAACGTCACTTGCAGCTGTAACGTTACTTGCAGCTGTAACTTATTTATCTTCATTTAGACTTCTACTGGAGGGAGGAATTCCTAGACCAAACCACGGAATCACACTGAATTATTCGTTTTTTAATCAAGATCTCTCATTTTTGCTGAATAATTGTACCTCATTCATATTTGTACATTATTATCGATATTTGTATGTGTAATGGCCTTTTTCAACTTCTTAATTCATTTTATTTTATTTTTCCAATTAATTTAATTGATTTGTTTTTAACTCACTTCGCCTGTCTCTCCAATTTTAATTCTTCCCTCTTTCTAAACTCCACCAAACTGTTGGCTCGTCAATAGCATTCAATAAAATTGCTTTACCTCTTGAATGACAAATTCCGGCTTTTTAGCGCATTTTCTCATTTATGGAAAAAAGGCGCTATTGTGCTCGTCATGTCCGTCCGTTTATCCGTCTGTCCGTCCGTGACTTCACGTTTTCGTCGACGAGAAAATGCGCTCTCTGTCACTCACTGCAGTGAGTACTGAGTTATATTTTTAAAATCCATTTCCTTCATCACATAAATGAAAATTTTAATCGAATTTGTAAATACAATTCATTTTCAATTGTCATCGCAATGAATCGACGTGCTGTCCACCAAGAATCTCATGTCCAATAGTTATGATTTATTAATAAATATGTCTTATAATATTTTGTATATCGTATTAACGTGTTGGATGCGTTATTTTAATGTGTTGATATATTTTTGGGAGGAATTTCTGTTTGGAAACATCATCGGAAACATTGCAAGAAATAATTGTGACTTTTATTGTTATTTATAATTGTTTTTTATTAATTTTGCATTTATGTGCGTCATCTTGACCAAGGTTAGCCAGGAAAATGACGTATCAGGCAAGTTAGTCACTATTTGGACAATGTTATTATATCCCATCCATTTATGTATTTATATCACTTGTTTGCTTAAATCGCAAATTAACTAAGAATTTAAAAGCAAAGAAAAGTCCACAAAAATTCATATCTTTATAGAAAACGTTTCGGAGACCAGCTCCATCGTCAGTTCGTAGAATCTAGAATCACGAATCAGAAGTTGTATATCCATTTATGTATATCCCATATATCCATACATGCTGAGGTGGTTTAAACTAATATAATTTTGTCATCTGAAATCGATGAGTATTTTTTCCAAATTTTATTTTTAAGGGAATTTCGATTTTTCTGTACCATCGGAGACTCGAGTGTATTATTTAATGATATTATATGTGTATTGAGAGATTTATTATTTGTATATCCTAAGTAATATAGCATAGAAATGAATCTCTACCTTGTTATGAATTAAATATTGACAGATTCTGTTGCTCATTTCTTACTGTGATTTGTTTGCATGTGTATAATATTATTTAATTGCTCAGTTATTTATTATTAATGTTCTTAATGTACTAGCAGATTAGCCCTGTGTTGCCGGGAATAATTGTTAATCCTTTCAATTTTTTTATACCGTCGTCCCGATAGCCGATAGAAAATTATTCTCCGTTTTTCAAACTAAATATATGTACAACAATACAAAAATTTAAATTTAAATTTTGTATTTCGGATCCAATTATTGCCTCTCTCTGCAATGCCTCTCTCTTATCCATTTGAGAATAAATGTTCAGGTCAGGGACCATACTTTCAAAACTCGCTAAGTGAACGTAAGTACTTACGCTCTATTTTCTTGTCTATGATTGGTGGATTTTGCTTGAATGTCCGTCAATGATTGGCTGATGAACTTACGATCTCTTAACTTTTTTTGAAAGTATAGGCCCAGGAAAATATCTCGACAGGATAGGCTTACAACACAACCTCTAAAACACAAACTTCGTTAAATATATACAATAATATATTTTTTTGATATTTTATCTCATTTCTTCAACTTTGACCAGTTCAAAATTCGCCCGTGACCAAAGAAATACTCTCTCTTTACTTTATCTCCCTTTATTCCATATTCATGTAAAGTTAATACCTCGATGTAATTAATCTTTGACTGCATTTTGTAGAGATCATAACATGTGAATATCTACGAAAAAATTACTTGTTTTGAATTTTTATTTAAACAAGGGTGGTTGATGACCAGAGAATTCGTTGATTTAAATTTTCAGGGTCGAATAATATTCTTCAAAAGACGTTGGTTTATCAAAATGGAGGCTCTAGGAAGTAATTTTAATTTATTAACGACATTCCAAATGTGACAACATTATTTTCAAGTTATAGTAAGCATTGAATACAGAAATTTTGGTGAAAATAAGTACATGAGACACAACACGAAAATTTAGAACCGTGATACAACACGAAAATTACTCACGATACAACACGAAAATAAGGAACCGTGAAAATTATTCTGAAACAATCGTATTCGGGAAAATCCGGTAGTTGCGATAGTTGAAATCTCCAGCTATCCGATTTTCTATCGGACCGCTGGAGTCCAATGCGTAGAGATGGGGGGTTCAGCTATCGTCGGTCGGATGATGTCGGGCCGCTGCAGGATGACGATGCTGGTGGGTTCCTCCAGCACAGTGCGCTTGTCGGTCTCGTTGTGTTTGACGAGAAATAATTTATTTTTCGAAAATACTATACTAGACGTTATCTAGTATAGAATCTTCGGCATTGAATAATGGGCCTTGATTTCTAGAACATTATAGAGCTGTTGTCTATCTCAGCTATCAATCTCACAACTAACGGGTTTGTCTGAAGTTTGAGATTGTTTCGGAGTTATTTCCAGAGTTCCAAATTTTCATATTGTATCATATTTACGTGTATCATGTACTTATTTTCACCGAAATTTCTGTATGGAATGCATCCTATAACTTGAAAATGAATGTTGGCACATTCGAAACGTCGTTAATAAATTAAAATTACTTCCATGAACCTGCATTTTGATCTACCAACGTCATATGAAGAATATTGTTCGGTCCTAAAAATTTAAATCAATGAATTCTCTGGCCATTAACCATCCGTGTTTAAATAAGCTTATTCTGCCATCTAGGAATATATTCTTATTTGTAGCTTTAAGGCTCTCGTGCTGGTGAGATAACGCACGTTATTTATTCATTATGTTTGTTCAATTGAACATTTAATTCAGTCAGCTAACTGGCCTTCTGTAAGTTCGATTTAATATTTAATTCAGTCCACTGTATGTACATGTTTAATATTTTATTTTCATTGGTTTAATTTGATATAAAATGTCAGAATTTTTATTTCGAAGCATAATTTTATCAGTGCGATAAATGTGCCATCGTCTCGTATACTGAGATAGGTATATATTTATATATAATATTGTATCCATATAATTTCTCGTAAATATAACATGAACTTTGAACCTGCGTTACAATATTTATAATAATCAAGCCATGTTATTTTGGTAAAAAATCATTATCTCTGGATTTGCGTGCTAATTTTAAAATTATTTTGAATAGTTGAAATTAAATCGAACATTTCTGGTGACTCCGATCTGCGTATTTTAGAATCGTATATTTTCAAAGAGAAGACTAGTTTAAATGCAGCCTTCAGCTGATATCCACTAGAAATTGAGGATGGATAGCTTTTGCCAGTTTCTTTTTTTTATTTCACTTTCTAACTTTATGTTTTGTTTACAAGTTTAGTTTTTAACTTCTCTGTGTTTTTTTTTTCAAATATCCACTGTATTAACTTCTGTTTTTTTCTGTTCTAGACGTTTTTCTGTTCTAGATTTTTCTAATTGACTGTGGAGCTGGACTCCAAAACGTTTTAAATAGGGATAATGTGATTTTGTATGGAGTGAGTATTCTTTACTTTTAAAATTTTTAGTGAATATTTTCTAATAGTATCCTAAGATTTACGCTTCTAAATCCATTAAAAACTTCGCAGTTTTTTCCAAAAAAGGATAATAATTTTGTTTTGAAGAGTATTAATTTTTTTATTCAGGAGAAGCAAATATCGAGAAGAGATTATATAAGAAACTGTCTCGCATTCCATTACCTTCATATTTGATCATAAACATATGATCCGTCGTAATTATTTTTTATGTTCAGTTATAATTGGCGAGTTAATAACATTTGTAATCGATTGTACTTATTTATTACGTAAATTATAATAATAAGCTACGAATTATATAGAAACCATTAAACTTTTGATGCATGTTCCCAACGTTGACATTCCTCTCTGTAAATATCCTGGTTAATTGGAATAAAATATTTTGTAATTACAATTGTACAATATTTGTATTGCGCAGTTCATTATTATTCTGTAATAATGGTTCATTAGACATACGGAAATAAACTGTTAATAAGGAGACATAGAGCGACATTGCAGCTGCAAAGAAAATACCGATTCTATAAGAAAAGAGTAAAATCTCAATCCATGAGTGTATTGTGTCGGTCAATTTGTATCGATGCTAAAGACTTAGATTAAGGTTAGACTTCAAAAGAGAGTTTCTAAAATACAATAATTCTCCGTTGTGTCTGTACCCTAAATTGCAACGCATTGAAGGAAATCTGTTGAATTAGTTGAATCCTTGAATATTTATTGCATTCATTGAGAGGCAGTTGTTTTAATTCCCAAATGAATGACTTGAACCCTCGTGTAATTTAATGTTGTGCTATGGCATGACTGGTAATGTGACTCGTCGTTTAATTCAACTCATTTTCAAACTTAAAGGCATTTGGATTAATTGATTAATAAATTTAAATACTCTAAAGGAATGATAAAACAAAATATATCAAATTACAAGGCAAACATGATGATACTGCCTAGCCAAGCTTGACATCTAAGCCTCTATTTATTTTGCTGAATCATACATAACAAGCGCTGCTCAAGTTGCAAATCAGACGACATGGATATTGGATTCATATCGAGAATTATTCAACATGCGTTAGTAATCTCCAATACATTAAATTATATATGCTTATAAAAGAACGTTAGGTTTATTCTGTAACTAAGCGAATGACATGCCTTAAGAAGGAACGTTGGCTAAATTCTTTAACTAAGCGAATGGCTTACTTTATAGTGACATATTGAAGCTCGTCAATCGAGGTTTGCACAACGCGTTCAATAACCGTAAAGCTCGCTATAGCGATCACAGAGCTGTGGATTGTCAAGTGAATAATAACTCGTTTTTCCCTAGCAAACGTTCTAAACAAACAGCGTATTCCAAATACCTAGATACGTTACTCAGGATTGGACCATCGGGCCACGGTATAGAGGAAGCCAGACCCAACTTAACCATTCATGTTGTACAAACATCAGAAACAATCCAACCCAGCGTTAACAACCAGGCTATAAATCCAGCTCGATCTATCTCAATAATTTTTTATTATACCCAGCGTTTTGTTCCAAGATGTGAATAAACCTAGACTGTCAATTATCACTTCCAATTGTCACACATGACTGCTTGTTATTTATAATGACTTTAACATCTATGATC